TGCCTGCAGGGATGCCGGTGGTGTGTTGTGTGTCAGCCAGTGCATGTGCTGTAACGGCCTGTCTGTTGTTCAGGAGGATGCTCTGTTGTTGTCCTGGAGGACCAACAGTCAGGAACTAAGCAGCTCCATCCCCCAGTTCTTCATCCCAGACATCTGATGTTTCTTATTAGGAAACTTTTTATCTCTGCCCTTGATTCCTTTTCTTGGTCTCTGAAGATCAATGTGCCATCCTGAGCGAATTCCTTCAGATCGTTCTTTCTCTCGTCTGTTTGGCATAGATCACACTGCTCCCCTTTTTGTTGCCAGGGAGTTTGTTGGTTTTTTTTTTAGATCCAATAACTCTGAGACATGACAAAATGAAAACAGTGTGACTAAAATAGCCTTAAGTGAAACTCCCTCCAGAGCCTTAACTCAAAAAAGCTGGAAAAAAAATCATTTGTACCTTGATTCTTGGGAGGAGGTAAAGATTAAATCTCTCCCAAAGGCAGCAAGCCTGAAGCAGAGAGAGATGCTCCCTTGCTCCTGAGTAGTCCCCTCTGCTCAGCATCATATTTGTCCCTCTGCCCAGAAAGAAGAATCTTTATAGGGTGGTTTTGGACATCCAGCCTTGAGTGATAAACCATATGGTCACCTTTTCTGAGAGAGGAAATGCTTTGGACAATTACTCTTTACCCTTTTTAGGCTTCTCAAAGTTTTCTTAAAATAGTTGTTGATGCAACTTTTTGTATAGCAAAAGGGTTCCAGTAGCCTTCTCTTCTTAGAATATCCCCTATCCCCTTGTCTGACCAGGCTTTAAAACTAACACAGTAATAGTAGTAATAATAATAATAATATCATCATCAATATCCTTACCCAGATCTCAAATACGAAATCTAACATTTTCTTTGTTTGGCTAGAAAATACTGTAGTAGGCTGAAGGAAAGGAAGAGGTACTCTCATCCAGTCAAAAGTTGGTTTTGAAATAGTTGTGGACCTCCATTATGAACATACTGAATTGAGGCAGTGAGGTGCTTGCACAGTTGTTCTGTATTTTTGCCTTGTCATTTGTAGCTTTAAATCTGAATGTCATTTCAATGGAATATGGCATTCTGACACCCAGCTCAGTGATTTCGTGTTAGACCAATAGTGTCGGTACTAAACATCTTACTGTAAAAACTCACTGTCAATACTGGTGGACCTGGGTAAGTCTCCTGTATGTTTAAATCTAGCTTGTCCATGGGCTCAGCTTCCACGTAGCTGGCTGGTGGGGTGAGCGATGTCCCGTGCTCCCTCACAGCTTGTGTATGCATTTGAGGGCTGTAATTGTTGTTAGCCTTCCTGTTAAGGTACTTCATGTTCCTTGTCTCTGGAATTGCATTTCATTTCTCCCGGTAAACTCAATGGTGAAATGATTGCTATCTCTTGGGGGAAGGGAGAGGAATTGTTCTGTCCTATGGATGATGTTAAAAGGCTTTATCCCTTGAACAATAGAAAGGCTTGAACTGAAAATGACAGACCCTCTCAGCTGTAAAGCCATCACGTCCTTTCATTTTGTCCTGTGCTAATAAAATACTCTGTTAATTGCTGCGGTACTTGCTAGTACTGCCTTTTCACCCACAGCTGTCCTGCTGTCAGTAGTCCAGCAATCTGCTGCAAAAATTAGCTTTTGTCTTACTAGTGCATTAATTAATCATAGTGTTCAGTTCAATGCCATGAGGAAAAAGTAATGTTTATCCTGAATTCAAGACTTTTTTTATAGTACTGACTTATGCTCTAGTGCCAGTGGTTTTGAGGCTGTGGTGTCAGCAGTACAGCAGAGCTGCAGTGTCCCGGGGTATGTTTTGGTTTATGAGCATGTTGATAATTGTGGTGGACAGAACAGATCATCTTGTGGACATTTTTTTGTAAAAAGAAACGTCTTCATGCAGTTTGGACGGGGCATTGGGCTAGTCGGAAACTTAAAATTCTTTTTGTCAGCATAATGGCATCTGTACAAAGCTTTTGATAATGTAAATGCCATTGAGCAATGTGTATCTTACAGGGCTGTATGGTAGAGCTTCAGGATGAGACTTTGGCTTGGGCTTCTGGCTTTTTCCATGCTATAGTCTTTCTGTGCTACTTACAGTGGTGAATAAGTTTATCTAAAAGATATGTGTGTGTGTCTGTATATTTGTCATGGTTTAACTCCAGCTGACAACTAAGCCCCACACGGCCGCTCACTTTACTCACCCCCCGGTGGGATGGGGGAGAGAATCGGAAGAGTAAAAGTGAGAAAACTCGTGGGTTGAGATAAAGAGAGTTTAATAGGTAAAGAAAAAGCTGTGCATGCAAGCAAAGCAGAACAAGGAATTCATTCACTGCTTCACAGTGAATTCATTCACCTTCACAACGAGGCTGGTGAAGGGTCTAGAGCACAAGTCTTATGAGGAGCGGCTGAGGGAACTGAGACTGTTTAGTCTGGAGAAGAGGAGGCTGAGGGGAGACCTCATCGCACTCTACAACTCCCTGAAAGGAGG